AGTTGTCCACTGGGCCTCAAAGGGGCTTCAGGGGCTGTCACAGGGCCCAGGCCCCTCCCTAGGTGCTCGGCTGGGCAATGCCAGTTTCCGCACCCCCCCCAGCACGGGGTCCCTAACAGGCGACAGCACAGCGCCCGCTCGAGATCCTGGGAGGCCTCACAACGAAGTAAATTCAGCGACCAAGATCTCCGAGAATAATAAGCGAGATGCTTAGAGCCCGGCAAGCTCCCCGTGGCGTCTTCGATATGCCAAACACAGGAACAACAAGTCTCACGATGGAGACGTGACTGGTGCCCGCTCGAGCAAATCGATGAACAACGGGAGGACAGTGCTACGCTGCTACAGTGCTGAAAGAACACAGCAAGTGTCGCTCGCTCCTTCCTTTTGCTCAGATCCAAGGAAGACTAAGATTAAGAAATTGCCGCATCTAGGGGCTGGAGAGACAGTACGTGCCAGGCACATGGGAACGCACCAAGGGCAGGCAGGCACGAAGGGAGGAAGCGAGAATGAAGGCGGGAACGGGGGTCTGCAAGGATGTGGGTTCACACACTCTCCCAGATGGCCTCTGTCTCCCTGTCGTCTCCCCAAACGACGCAAGGCACTGCCGACACAGCAGGCCCAGCCGGGGAGTCCCAGGGCCTTTCTGCGCCATTCACCGGTGACCTCCATTCACCGGTGACCTCTGCCCGCTGGCCCAGCAGATGGATAATCAAGAATCAACATCCCCTGTCAGGACAAACATTCCATCTCATTGTCTCATCCCCTAGCGTTCCGGGAGGCGGGGAGGTACACATTAACTGTAATAAGTTACTGCTCCACTTACGATTAAGCTGTGTCCTCACTGGAAGTCAATTTTCAAACGACTCCGCAAGTTCAGACGTTCCGAGCAAGACAAAACCCCAGAGAAAACAATGAAGGTGAAAATAAGGGGCTCGTGGGGCTGGCGAGATAGCACAGCGGGTAGGGCGTTTGCCTTGCACGTGGCCGACCCAGGTTCGATTCCCAGCATCCCATATGGTCCCCTGAGCACCGCCAGGAGTAACCCCTGTGCATCTCCAGGTGTGACCCCCCCAAAAAAAAGAAAGAAAGAAAATAAGTGGCTCGAAAGAAGGCAAGTCCGAGGTTGGTGTCCGGCACTGCCGGGACTGCTCAAGCTGCGTTTCCCTCCTGATACTTCATCGGCACTGACCAACGCACGTGGGCTCTCGGGAGCAAGGCCTCCAACTGGCATCTTCAGATATCCGGGGGCTGTCCGCTAACTTTCTCACTGCAGCAAACGCGTCCCACCTGGAACCGAGCTCAGTGACTATTCCAGCAAACGACTCGGAAACCCCTCACCTGCTCGAACTAGCCACAGGGCCCAAGGAAAGCACTTCGGGCACTCCGCAGGCCTAGAACACAGCGCTGGTCACCAGCAAACAGGGACCTGTGCTGACCTCGGGCGCCACCTGCTGGGCTAAGGAGACAAGCCGGGCTCCTCCGGCCCTTCACTTCACAGGGCCCCCAGGAGTCCCTGCTTGACGTAAGCAGGCGAGTTTCTCACTGCCTCCGCGGTGGTCCGTCAGACTACATGCGCCTGATTCTACAAAGCGCCCCTGCAAGCCGGCCCAGGAGCGGAGCTCTCTCTCCATCTGGGCCTCTCGCAGGTAGCTGTCAATCAGACAGCAGTGCTTAAAAGGAGTTCTTTCAGGCCTCCGCACACTCCCACAGGGTCCCTCGAGCACTTCCAGGAGTGATTCCCGAAAGCAGAGCCAGGAGTAGGCCCTGGGCACTGCTGGGCATGACCAAGAAGAGAAAGGAAAAACAGGAAGGAGAGGTGTCCCACGTTTGGGGCTGGAGCGACAGCGCAGCAGGCAGGGCGCCCGCCTTGCACACAGTGGACCCTGCTCCATCCCGGCATCCTCAAAGACCCCCAGGGCCCACCAGGAGTGATGCCTACGCAGAGCCAGGAGTAACCCCAGAGCACTGCTGGGTGTGCCCCAAAAGCTAAAGAAAAAAACTACACTTGCTGAAGCTGAGCACCGTGTCCCTGACATTCTCTTAACTAAAAATTTCCTCTTTTCCTTTGCTTCGATTGTTTTGCAATGAGAAAGTTGATTTTTGGGGGGGGGGGTCACACCCGGCTTTGCACAGGGGTTACTCCTGGCTCATGCACTCAGGAGGTGCTCAGGGGACCATATGGGATGCTGGGAATCAAACCCGGGTCGACTGCGTGCAAGGCAAACGCCCTACTCACTGCGCTATCGCTCCAGCCCCAAGAAAGTTGATTTTTTTTACCCTCCAGGGGCCAATCGGAAAAAAAACGGACACTTCCATAAAGTGAGCTAGACAGGAAATGAAGAGAGAGGAGCACTCCACGCAGCTCTGGGGAGTGAGTGCCTGTATCTCTCAGATACCTGCTTGTCCCTGGATACATGACATATAGGAACACTTGATCATACAGACACCAAAAGCACAAAGCTCCGACATACACGCTCATTTCCACGGCAGAGACTGTGTATGTGGCTTGATTGCTTATACTTTGAAAAAGGAAAAATATTAATCACAGAGACAAATAATCCCGTTTCTCTTGGGAAAAAAAAATTCTATGAGTAGCCATGGAGAAAATGTTCTAAAATGAGTCTGTTTGAAAGAACATCAACCAAATGTAATACATGAACCTTAGATGAATTCAGATGACCACAAAGGACAATTTTGAGACGACTAAGGAAACCCCAGCACAAAGTGGGGAACAGATAATATAAGTCTCAAAATTGAGTTTGATTATGAAATTGCAGTCATACCTTTTTTTTGGGGGGGGGGCACTATAAAATTAATCTAATTTCCCTTTTTCCTTTTTAGTCCCGAGGATGCTCTGGACTGACTCCTAGCTGCGCACGGAGACCCGCGCGTGATGCGGGGGACAAACCCAGTCAGCTGCGTCCAAGGCAAGCACCTTGCCAGCTTCTACTCTCTCTCCACCCCAGACATCCCTTTCTTTTTCAAAAACATTTACGATATACTGAAAATAATGAAGTCATTTGATTCACAGACCTGCCCAGGTTTCATTTTTCAGTCTGGGGTCACAGCCGGCAGCGCCCAGGGGCTATGCAGTGCCAGGACCACCGTGTGCCCAGACTGCTCCGGCCTGGAAAACTCTCTCAGGCCCTACGGGTAACACTGGCCACGCTCCTTTATCCCCCGGACTTCCTCTGGGCCGATCATCGGGTCTCGGCACTTGAGAGGCACCGGGCCAAGTCCAAACCCTGGCCTGAGATGACCCTTCCTGCTGGGCTCTGATGGAGACGATTCTTCACAGACCCGACCCAGAGGCCACCGACTTCAGAAAAGCCCCCCTGACCTCCTGGGGGAGGAGTGGATGTCCTGGAGGTCGGTCCCCAGCGCCGAGCTGTCTGTCCCTCCACATCCGGGGGGGAAGAGGCCTGTCCGCGCAGTCTGTTTCCCTGATAACACGTGACCGTCCGAGCAGGCCTAATGCCCATCCCCTCCCTGTCGGCACACCGCTGGACTCTCCCGGCTAACAGAAAGAGCAAGGTCTGTCCTGCACCCAATTCACCTCCCACAAACGCTGTCATCCACAGCTGCAGGACCCCACGCAGAAGCCTGGAACGGAGTCTCAAACCAGTGCCAGGGTAGCAGCAAGAGACCTCTGTCGCCATGCAAATTCTGGCTTGCCTCTTTAGGATTTCTGCTTATTCGGGGGTCATACCTGGGGTATTAGAGCTTCCTTCTGGCTCTGCACTCAGAGGTCACTCGTGGCGGGGCACAGGGGGCCCTGTGGAACGCTCTGGGGATCAAATCTGGGTCCTCTGTGTGCAAGGCAAACGCCTGACCCGCCATACTACTGCTCTGGCCCCAACAACATGAGATTATGGCTCTGCGGGTGTGGGGTGAGGACTGCAGGGTGCCACTGGGCTGACCTGGGCACGGGGGCCGAGGGAGCGCAGAGGGCCCGGCCGTCTCTCAGACCGGGCTGCCTGTCCGGGGCCCTTGCCAGTTTTCTCGTTTTGTTTCTTTGGGTGCCGGGATCACAGCAGGCCAGCAATCTACCTGGGCCACAGCCCCGGCCCCTGTCCCCTTTCTGTCATTGCTGCGGTGGCTGGTTTGGGGGCCACACCCAGTGGTGCTCAGGGGTCACTCCTGGCAGAGCTCGAGGATTCACGGGGGGGGGGGGGGGGGGGGAGGGGAAGGCTGGGGCTGAGACATGGGTCGGCTGCACGTCTACCCACAGCACTATCTCTCTCGTCCCCTTCGGCTGTCCTTCTGGCCACCTACGTTAGGCTGGCACATGGTGGGTCGTTACAGAAGCAGACAGAAAACCCATAATCCCACAGCGGCAGGCGGCTTTGCCCACACATCCGCCCATGGCACGAGCGGTGTGTGCCTACTGGGACTGTTCTGGGCACACTCAACACCGTGCGGCCCTTCCCTTGGCTCTGCGCCTTGCACGTAGGCGGCACACAGGGGCATAGGAAGTACACAGAACCAGCACACGTGGGCACAGTTAGCACATACGGGTACAGTTGGCGCACACGGGGACAGTCGGCACACACGGTACAGTCAGCACACATGAGCAGTCAGTACAGAATCAACACACAAAGGCAGTCGGCACACACAAGCACGGTCAGCACACCTAGTCAGCACACCAGGGCACAGGCCACACATGGGTATAGCTGACATACACGGGAAGAATCGGCACACACAGGCACACTCAGCGCACGCGAGCACAGTCAGCACACACGGGCATGTCAGCAGACAGGCACAGTCAACACACACAGCACACACAGGCACAGTCAGCACCCAGTGGTGCTCCGCTGCGTGTGCCTTCGGATCTGGCCCCGGGACCACCCACCAGCACAGCACATTGGGGCCCCTATGGCAAGCTCCTTGTCTGGGGGGATGACACTGTTTGTGGAGGCGCAACTGCGCTCGGAAGGGACCCGGCACCCCTTGTGGCAGGAGACCATCCCGGACAAGCTCATGATGGACGAAAAAGGTACCTCGGTCTTCCCGCATTCATCAGGCGGGTCCTGGTGGACGGCCATCTGATACTTGACATACAAAGAAAAGGACTGGCTGAAGGACGACTTGAACTCTGGGTCCTCAAAGGAGACGGGCACTAACCTCACCTTCAGAGCAAGGGAGACAAGCAAACGCTGTTGAGACACTCGGACCCGGGCAGCCGCTTCTGAAGGTGAGGCCAGAGTGACATCTCGGCAAATCCAAAGCTCAGCACGGAAGTGGCTGCCAACCACAGAAGTCCTGGGCCGGGTAACGGGGCCAGCGCCTGCGGCACTGACTTTTCACGGACCCTTTGGGAGAGCGCTGGGGTGGCCGGGATTTTCTGCTGTGTCTGGGTTCTCGTTCGACCCACCTACTCTGGCACTGCTGCTAACGGCGACAGCCGCTACTTCTGACGCCTCGATCTGACTGCTGCTCCCCTCAGAAACGTATCTTGGGGGGTGGAGGGCCGGAGCGACAGCACAGCAGGTAGGGCGTTTGCCTTGCAAGCGGCCGACCTGGGTTCGATTCCCAGCATCCCATATGGTCCCCAAAGCAGCGTCAGGGGTAATTTCCTCAAGAGCAGAGCCAGGAGTAACCCCTGTGCATCGCCAGGGGTGACCCAAAAAGCAAAAAAAAAAAAAAAAAAAAGAAAGAAATGTGTCTTGGGTAATCTGATTCCCAAGAGAACAGGTATCAGAGGACTGGGATTAACCTGCTCCAGAGGAAACTGAGGCTGGGAGCCCCTGCACACACGCTCCCAGGGATCAAGGCCACCAACAAGGTAGGCAAAGCATGCCTATGGTCAAAAAAAAAAACAGTGTTTTCTTTTTCTTTCCTGATCTTTTTCTCATAAATATTTTTAACTACTTACTTAGCTGTGTGTTACTTTTAGAGAAGTGCAGCTAAACGAGAGGACTTTAAATCAGATCATTTCTTTTATGTGTCCCTTTCGACTTTGAAATTATAGCTAAACGGCACTTCACACGGCGCTAGATAAAATCTGCACTTTCAGAAAGCCCATTTGAATTCAACACGCCTGTCTCTTTGCAGATAGGCTGCAAATTCCAGATGAATAAACTGTAGCATGAATAAACCAAGAGTGAAAAACCACAGTAACAAACGAAAAGAGGACAACGCCATTTGCCGGGAAAATCGCACTCGGCCTGCTGACCTGGCTGACGGTGGGCTTATCGGGAGGGTCGTTGTGAATGGTCATCTGGTAGCGTCTATACACCTGGAAAGACTCCTGAAATGTGGCTTTGAACTGAGAACTTGGTGGAGATGATCTTACCAGCCTCACCTTCAGAAGGGGTTAAAAAACAATGTGCATTAATGCATTCATTCAGTTTGTAGACATTACTGGATAGTTATTCCCAGGCCCAAAGTACATCTTCAACACAAACATTAGAACATCAGCATAAGATAGTATTTTAACATTAAAAAATCCACCCGTGGGGCTGGAGCAATAGCACAGCAGGTAAGGCATTTGCCTTGCACGCGGCCGACCCGGGTTCGATTCCCGGTATCTCATGTGGTCCCCCGAGTACGGCCAGGAGTAATTCCTGAGTGCATGAGCCAGGAGTGTGACCTCTGTGCATTGCCGGGTGTGACCCAAAAAGAAAAAAAAAAATCAACCCATGAGGAAGATTTTTTGAAATTATTTCTCCAATCATTCAGGAGGCAGAGGACCGTCTAACCTCTAGATTCAGCGTCTTGACTGAATGAAGCCAGCCTACTTCTGTCATAAAATGCAGAATATTTCTGGCACTCAAGACAAAAACACAGATAAATATGATCTTAATTTTAGGTGTACCAAACTCACCTCCAGTACATCAGTTTGGGAGACCCAATGTGAAGAATATAGTTTCTGGACACTAACGCTGCACATGACTTAACCTTCAACTTATTTATTCATAGAAAAGAAAACTCTCAGGGCCGGAGCGATAGCACAGCGGGTAGGGCGTTTGCCTTGCACGCTGCCGACCTGGGTTCGATCCCCGGCATCCCATATGGTTCCCCCAAGCATCGCCAAGAGTAATTCCTGAGTGCAGAGCCAGGAATAACCCCTGAGCATCGCTGGGTGTGACCCAAAAAGCAAAAAAAAAAAAAAAAAAAGAAAACTCTCTTGCACTGTTACTACTTCCTTACATAGTTGAGAATAATCTACAACCGATTCTCTTTATTCGAATCCTTGGGGGCTGGAGAGAGTAGAGCAGGCAAAGAACTTGCCTTGCAAGCAGCCAAGCCAGGCTCGATTCCTGGCACCCCTTAAGGTCGGTTCTCAAAGCCTTGCCAGGAGTGATCCCTGAGCACAGAGCCAGCAGTAAAGCCTGAGCATCACTGAATGTGCCGCCAAAAAATTAACCAATTAACCTGGAGGGCCCCCTCTTGATCAAGTCAATTAATGAGCTTTGTACCCAAGTTTTCTCATCTGTAGAATGAGTTTGAAACAGTTAATAACAGCTCACACTGATTTTAATCAGTTAAAACTTGTCAGCAAAATAGAAAATCGAACGTAATACAATAAAAGGCCTAACTGGACACTTCCACAGGTGCCAGGCGAAGTGATTCTCTCCCTATAGAGAGACGGGGCGGGAATGATGGAAGGGCGTCTGCCTGGTGCGAGGCTGACCCAGGCTTGAATCCCGGTATCCCATCTGGTCCCAAGCACCGCCAGGAGTGATTTCTGAGTATAGGGTCAGGAGTGACCCCTGAACTTCTCCAGATGTGCCTCTCAAAAATAAAAAAAAATTCTGTACTGAAACCCAACATAAACAATTTCGAAACAGTGTATGTCATGGCGATTCAATAAAAAAGAAAAAAAAAAAACAGGTTTCTCTCAAGGGTCACATAGTAAATAAACTAATGCCACTTCAAGCCAATCTACTTTAATTCCCCAATTTAAACAACATACTATCTTGATCAGCAGAGCATGAAATAAAAATAAACAAGGCACCCAACGAAACACAAACGCAAGACAGTACCTCTAGTTTGTGTGATGCGTCTGCAGGTAAAGGTTCGAAAATAAAATCTTCCAGCGATTTGGGCTGGTTGGATTTAGTCTTTGGCGGAAACTTTGGAGCCGGCGGTTCGGGTCCTCCGGCCGGGTTCTGCTGCATGAGTTTTAACCTTTTCCTTTCCTTCCGGATTTCCTTTGCTTTCCGACACGGGGGCTTACTCAAATCTGCCCCTTTGCCTATGAAGAATTTCAAACATTAGCTCGGGTCGCAAGTCTCAAACAAACATTCTACACACAGTTCCAAAGTATTCCTGCATCTCCAGGGGCTGCTGGGGAAATATCTCAGGGCTCCCTGCTGGGGAGCTACCCCCCCCCCCCCCCAAAAACCCCTGCACTCTCCCTTTAAAGCAGGAACTGCCCAAGGAAGCAAGTAATCGCAAAAACTGTTCCGGCAGTTCCTACTGTAAACATTCACCTCTTGTCTGTGTTCATCAGTTAGAAAGGATCTAACCAGGCATCTCTGCGTGAGGGTACTGTTGTCACTAGCCCTTTCCTCATGACCATTTCTCTTAAAGCACCAGGAAGGAGACGCAATTTGAGAGTATGCTGGCAGAACTTTTGCTGTTTTTTTGTTTGAGGTCACTCACATCCGGCAGTGCTCAGAGTTCCCCCTGGCTCTGCACTCAGGGGTCACTCCTGGGATGCCGGGTCTGCTGCGTGCAAGGCAAGTGCCCCACCTGCTGTATCATCTCTCCAGCCCCTGCTGGTAGGAGGCTTTAATGGGGAAAATAAAACCCTGTGCTTAAGGGAGAGAGAACAGTGAGGGGGGGGCATTTGCCTTGCACGTAACCAACCCAGGTTAGATCCACAGCACCCCAGAGAGTCCCCGGGAGCACCACTAGGAGTGACCCTGAGCACAACGCCAAGAGTAAGACCTGAGCTTTGCTGGGTGTGACCAAAAAGCAGACGTTCTTCCGAAGAGTCAAATATAAAAAGCAAGAATCTTGGGTTGACCCTACTTTTGCTGTAAATGCTTCTGGGAAACAAAAGGTCAAGAAGCAGGTTCTTTCTAGAAGGATTCCAGCCACCCAGAGACGAGTGAATGCGGGACTATCTAAGGATAAGAGGGCTCAGATGGGGCAAGAAAGGGTCGTTTTATTTTTCCTTTTTTTCTTTTCTTCTTTTTGAGTCACACCTGGTGATGCTCAGGGGTTACTCCTGGCTCTGCACTCACGAATTAGTCCTGGCGGTGCTTGGGGGACCCTATGGGATGCCAGGGATCGAACCCAGGTCTGCTGTGTGCAAGGCAAATGCCCTACCCGCTATACTACTGCTCTGGCCCCAGACGGGTCATTTTAACCCCATCCTATCTCTCTGCCCCTAACTCATGCATATGTGAAAATGCAAAGAAAAGCTTAGCCACATTAAAGACAAAGGTTTGTATCAAACTTTGGAAATGTTTAAGCTAAAATCATGACGAATAAATCTAATGATAAGATTGTGCTTACTCTATCTCACACAGCACAGCTAAAATGTAACTTACACGACTTAACACCAAAAATAAAAGGGATTCGGACCCTCCTTTCCACTGACAAATATCTGACTCTCACACCTCTCGGACCCTAAGAAATAAGACCGCCTGTCTCTGGGGATAAGGCCAACATTTCAGCCTTTAAAATAGTCTCAGGCCTGGAAAGACGGCTACAAAGTTTGGAGCAGGGCTGGAGCAACAGCAGAGTACGGCGGATGGGGAGCTTGTTCACAGTCGACCTAGATTCAATCCCCAGCACTTCAGATGGTCCCCAGAGCACTACCAGGAGTGATTCCTGAGTGAGCAGCCAGGAGTAAGCCCTGAGCATCACCAGGCATGGCCCCAAAACCAAATGATCAAACAAAATATTTTTAAAACATTGGAGGTCGTGTTTTATAGGCAGGATCCCAGTGTTTGATACCTAAAACCACAGGAACTTCCGCAAGGGCTGGGGTGATCTCCAAACACTACCAGATGAGGTGGGGGGAAACAAAAATTTAGAGTTTCAAAAGAAAACCTGCCCTTGGGGCACATCGGATAGGACATTTGCCTTGCCTGGGTTCAATCGGGTAGGACATTTGCCGACCTGGGTTCAATCCCCGGCATCCCATATGGTCCCCCAAGCACTGCCAGAAGTAAACTCCTCAGTGTAGAACCAGGACTAACCCCTGAGCATCGCTGGGCGTGACCCCAAAAATTTAAAAAAAAAAAAAAGAAAATCTGTCTATCTAAATCTTACTAATAATAAGTTACCTAAGATAGGGCTCACTTTTATGGATTTCATTAATAACTGATAAGAGGGCCTGAGGTCTACAACATCTCCAGCACGAAGAAACACATTTGATAAGACATTAGCCAGAGCCGACACACCGCACCTGGCTTGGGGGCGGCGGGCACCTTGACCAGGTGCGAGGGTTCGCCGGAGGCCAGCTTCTCTTCGATCTCTCCCGGCGGAAGCAGCTCCCGAGCTTCCTCTCGCTTGGTGCTCTTCCCCTTCCGCTTCGCTTCGCTCTCCACACTTTTCTTGACGTCATCCCCGAGGGTCTTCAGGTCACACTGGATGTCCAGTTTGTTTATTAAGGCAAAATCCCCGGCCACGGCATCTTCCCCCGCGGGCTCCATGGGCTCATCTAGGAATTGAGAGAATCAAAGCGGATCCGCCAAGCCAGCTGACAGCTACATTCCATACGAGAAACCGGCCCTAAAACCCACACTGCCTTTTGCCAAGGTAACCGAGCCGTGCCACAGCTGGGACACAGTGACCCGAGCAGGGCCGGAGAGCCAGCACAGCAGGGCTGCCTTGTACATGGCCGACCCAGGTTCGGTCCCCGGCCTCCCACATGGTCCCCTGAGCAGCACCAGGAGTGATTCCTGAGCACAGAGCCAGGAGTAAGCCCTGCGAACCGCCAGATATGGCCCAAAGACGAGCAAAAAAAAAATATTACAGGGTCAGTGGGGCTGGGGATAGCCCTAAAGGCTTAGTGGACTCTGCACACAGGAGCACCAGGTTCCAACCCCAGCTCTGGGTAGTGCCCTGGACCACTCAACACTGCCAACCCCCTCTCCCCGCTTACAGAGGGATCACACTGGGCTGGGGAGGTGCTCCGCACCAAGGCACAAGCTCTGCAGGCGTGAGGCCTCGGGTTGGACTCCCCAGAACCCCCCAACATTGACTGTGCAATCCTGGATACAATATATCTAAGTGGCTATTTCTTCTGAGAGAATAGCTCTAAGAACATTTTTAGAACCGAACCAAGATTAGAGTTAATCAAATAATTTTTGAGAAAAAAAAAAATTCAGTCAATTCCAGGAAATCACAACATTTTAAAGGATGCTGCCTCTTGCCAAGCTAGACATTCTCTGGCAGAGATTCCAGAAATCTGTGATCCGGGACCGCTGGTCAGAGCAATTCTATGAGCAACTGCAGAGTTGCAATACCAGTATTGCTAGTAGCACTACTCAACTGGTAACTGTGGTATTGCCCCACTGTAGTTCTGGGATGATAATTACCCTGTGACAGGATTACCAACGACAGTACTAATGACCCCATTCCCTCCCTTTCTTAAGGAAAGACTGAAAATGAGAAGCCTGGGAAGATACTGCGATTAAAAGTCATTTAGGGGGCTGGAGCGATACCACAGTGGGTAGGGCGTTTGCCTTGCATGTGGTCGACCCGGATTCGATTCCCAGCATCCCATACGGTCCCCTGAGCACCGCCAGGAGTAATTCCTGAGTGCAGAGCCAGGAATAACCACTGTGCATCGCCAGGTGTGACCCAAAAAGTCAAAAAAAAAAAAAGGTCATTTAATCTCCTCTTACCCTCACAACCTCCTTTGCAAATGTCCCCCTTAGTCAGAAATCTTAACATTTTTTTCAAAACCTTCTTGTGGGATTTTGACGGGTGAAACTGTAAAGGTCGGCACCTAAGAAAGGAAAATGAACTGTTTAAAAAAGCGAACTCATTAAGCCCCAAAAACACAATGCAGAAAAGCCATCTGCACTCCTATGTTCATCGGAGCACGAATCACAAGAGCCAGAATCTAGAAACAACCCAAATGCCCGAGAACAGATGAGTGGATGAAGAAGCTACGGTACATCTACACAATGGAATACTACGCAGCCATTAGTAAAAACAGAGTCATGAAATTTGCTTATAAACGGATGAACATGGAGAGTATCATGCTGAGTGGAATGAGTCAGAGGGACCGAGGCAGATATTGAAAGATCGCTCTCGTTTCTGGGATTACCAAAAAAACATAGCATGAGAATAATAGCCAGACAGTAGAAACAAGGGCCAGGAGGATTGGTTCATGGTAGGAAATTCGCCATAAATTGTGGGTGAAGGCGGTTAGGGCAGGGCAGGGACCACTATGACAAAGATCATTGGAAATGATCACCCTGGACAAGAACTGAGCACTGAGAGGAGGTAAAGGGATAGACATGATACCCTTTCAGTAAATTTTGCAAACCACAGTGCTTAGGGGCTGGAGCAATAGCACAGCGGGTAGGGCCTTTGCCTTGCACGCAGCCGACCCGGGTTCGATTCCCAGCATCCCATATGGTCCCCTGAGCACGCCAGGGGTGATGCCTGAGTGCAGAACCAGGAGTAACCTCTGTGCATCGCCGGGCGTGACCCAAAAAGAAAAAGAAAAAAAAAAAACCCACAGTGCCTAAAAGGAAAAAGAGAAAGAGAAGAAAAGAGTCTGCCATAGAGGCTGGCTGAGAGTGGAGGCAGGAGGGAAACTGGGAACACTGGTGGTGGGCTATGGACACTGGTGGAGGGAGGGAGGAGTAGGGACAGGTGTCGGAACACTGTATGATTAAAACCCAATCATGAATAACTTCCTAACTGTGTATCTCATGGTGATTCGATTAAAAAAAAAAAAGTGAACTCAAACTCTGGAGAAATAAGATCATTCTTGAATAGCATCTAGAACAATGCGGGGATTATAATCCCTATAATTTGGGGCTGAAGTTGAGTCTTCAGTAGCCTTCCACCCGACTGCTAATCTCATTTTAACAACAGTTAAAGGAAGGGGGCAGCAATAAATACAGGGAAAAGAGACCGGGCAAAACGTTGCACGCGGGAAAGCAGATGTCAAGTGGCAGCTGACTTGGTGACCAAGGAAGTTAAGTGCTGGGCAGAGGAGATAATACGGTGGGGAGGTGTTTGCCTTGCATGCAGCTGACACCAATTCAATCCCCAGCACTATACATGGCCCCTGAGCAGCTCCAGGAGTAATCCCTGAGCACAGAGCCAAGAGCAAAATCTCAGTACTGCTGGTGGGGCCCCACATTTCAAAAAAAAGAAGGAAAGAAAGAGAAAGAAAGAGAGAAAGAGAAAAAGAGAGAGAGAGAGAAGAAAAAAACTCAGCTAAGTCCTAAGCCAACAGTAGGAAACCAGAAAGTTACCCAATTGTCTGTGAATTACTGCCCAAAGTCTTAGAAACTTAGTGACAGCTGCTGTCCTGACCACTATGACAATGACCACTGGAAAGAATCACTCTGGACAAGAACTGAGTGCTGAGAGGAGGTGATGTGATACACGATACCCTTTCAGTAAGTCATGCAAACCACAGTTCCTAAAAGGGAATCTAGATGTAAAAGTAGGAGATTTCTGGAGCTGCAGAAACAATAGGGTGAGAGAGCACATTCCTTGCATGAGGCCAACCGGGGTTCAATCCCCAGCACTCCATACGGTCGCCAGGCCTGTCAGGAATGAGCCCTGACCACAAAGCCAGAAGTAAAGCCTGAGCACCACCAGGTGAGGCCCCAAAACAAACAGAGTTAGAGTAGTAACATGAAACATTTTCAGATACGCAAAGCCTAAAAGAATTCATCAGCACATAAACATAGCATTAGTTCCTAAAAGAAAAAACCTTTCTGCTTTTCCTGACAAAGAATGCCTACCTAGAATGGAAGTTAACATTTTTTTTAAGAAGCAAGTCTTCACTAAAAGGAAAATTATACACAAGCTTCACATTCAATTAGACGACATTTCTAGGAATCCAAACTCTTACCTTATTGTGTACTGGGGGCAACAGGTTAGATTCATAACAGGCTTGTACACGTACTTCCCGCTTCTAAAATTAAAAAGCAGTCGTCATTTTTACACAATCTTTGTCCGTACCAAGATGCTGAGGAACAAACTGCACAAAATTAATGGGGACAAAAAAATAAATCAATCAAACCAACTGTGTCTAAATAATTTTATCTGGTGGGAAAGTGTATGGTGGTGGGATTGGTGTTTGAATATTAAAATAATCTGGGGCTGGAGCGATAGTACAGCAAGAAGGGCGTTTGCCTTGCACGCGGCCGACCCGGGTTCAATTCCCAGCATCCCATATGGTCCCCCGAGCAGTGTCAGAAGTAATTCCTGAGTGCAAAACCCCTGTGCATCGATAGGTGTGACCCAATCCAAATAAATAAATAAATGTAATCAAATATTGTCAACTATTTTATAAATTTTTTAAAAAAATTTAAGTAAATAAATGATTTTGCCACATCTAACACCATGCCACCAACCCCCCCCCCCCCCCATCTTTCCTTTCCCACATCTTCCCACATGAGCTGCCAGGACAACCAACCCAGCACCTGCAACCCCTCTCCCGCCCCACCTGCCACCCATCCTTCATGCCACTGGGGCATCCGAGACAAGTGCCTAGGAGACACTGCAGGGCACCTTCTCTCGGGCACCACCTGCATCAGCGTAGAGCACCCCAGTAGTCTGGTGTCTTCCACGCTTTCCAGATAACTAGTCAGCACCACAATTTTAGGGGCTTAACGTAGCCTCCCTCCCCCACACCCACCACCAAACACCATTGCTAAACTTCTAACACCCAGTACATCATAAGGTGACAGAATCAGGGCCTGAGGACTTTTCAGAAATGAGGCAGAGGCCGGAGAGAGAGTACAGCAGGAAGGACACTTGCCTTGCACACTGCTGACCTGGGTTTAATCCCCGAAACCCCACATGGTCCCAAGCCCCTCCAGGAATAATTCCCGAGTAAGCCCTGAGAATCACTGGGTGTGGCCCAAAACCCAGAAAATAAAATAGAATGAAAATTCAGTTTGGGGGCTGGAGAGATAGCACAGCAGGTAGGGCGTCTGCCTTGCACGCTGCCCACCGGGGTTTGATTTTCAGCATCCCATATGGTCCCCTGAGCACCGCCAGGAGTAACTCCTGAGTGCAGAGCCAGGAGTAACCTCTGTGCATTGCCAGGTGTGACCCAAAAAGCAAAAAAAAAAAAAATTGAGTTTCATTCAAATGAAACTGGTAAAAGGAGCCTTGATCCAGTCTGATGTGTACCAGCAAAAGGAAGAAACCTGGAGACACGCAGACAGAACAGGGTCACCCACCAGTAGACAGGGGACCAGGCAAGGACACAGAGTGGGCACCAAGGAGGGGCTCCGAGGCTTGGTTTCGGACTTCCAGCCTCCAAAATTCTGGAAACACAAATGAATGAGTGCCATTCACCGCCTTCCGTGGGATTTTGTTCTGGTCGCCTGAACAAATTAGCCCAAGCTCAGTTCCCACACCAGCGTCCCTCACCTCACAAGGCTCCCCAACCTGTGAGATACTGGACGCCATTTTCCACAGCTCCAACTGACCCACCAGACACTGGCCGTCACCTCACAACACCGCTCCCTCCAATCCCCTTCCTCTCCTGTCAGCTACAATCTGCCTTGCACACGGCTGACCTGGGTTCGATTCCCAGCATCGTATATGGCCCCCCCCCCCCCCACGCACAGCCAGGAGTAATTCCGGAGTACAAAGCCAGGAGGAACCCCTGAGCATCGCCGGGGGTGACCCAAAAAGAAAAAAACAAATTTGTTTGTGCCCGCTAAGGAGGCTGTCTTGGTGGTGAGGGAGGATGGGACACTAGCGGAAAGAAAGTCGCGCTGGTGGTAAGATCAGTGTTGGGACAAGGAATGCCTGAAACAACTGTATTCTGAACAACTCTGTAAATCAGTGTCTGAATGACAAAAAAAAAAAAAAAAAGATAAAAACGTTCCAGGGCTTGGGGCTGGAGCTATAGTACATGGCGGGGAAGGCATTTGCCTTGCACGCGATCGACCTGGGTTCAATTCCTGACATCCCATATGGTCCCCCCAAGCACCTCCAGGAGTAACTCCTGAGCACTGCCAGGTGAGACCCAAAAAGAGAGAGGAAAAAAAAAAAATTCCAGGGCTTAAGGTATGTGCAAATCCTGGCTCCACCCCTGTATCCAAAAAATCAAATGTTCCTTATCAATCATGGCATGAAAAGTCCCTCCCCTCCTCAAGGTAAAGGAAAGCTGGGAAATTCCATCTGCTCAATCCCAGGCTTAATTCCAGTCTCTCAGGGAGGATTGGTAAGAGAACTTCATAGTGCTTATATTTACTTAAGGTATTCTGTTTAAATTCAGCTACATAAAAGTAACTATAAAGGGGCTGATAGGACAGAAAATAGAGCACTTGCCTTGCACATGGCCAACCAGGGTTCAATTGCCAGAAGCCCTGAACACAGCCGGGTGTGGCCCCAAACCACAAAAGCAACCAACCAGAAAGAAAAAAAAAAAGGAAGAAAGAAACAAAACTCCTTCCAAAACAATCTTAGTCAGCAAAGGCAATGTGTGCACCTCAATAAAATACTGATGCAAATTCTTTTTTTTTTTTTCAAAAAAAGGGAAGATAAAAAAATAATAAACTTTTTTAAATGAAAAAGGAAAGATATTCTGGAGAAAAGCATAAAAATCTCTTCAAGACAAGGTAACAAACCATTAAAAATTTTGTAAAGTATTTCACTACTACTAGAGATATGTTTAAAAAAAGAATCCCTTCTGTAAACACATACTTCCTAAAAGGGTACTGACATGGGCCAGAAAGAAGGACAGTAGGAAAGGCACTTGCTTTGCCTGTGGCTGACCAGAGTCCTGGGACCACAATACAGTCCCCAAGGACCACCAGGAGACCAACCTTCCGCACAGAGCCAGGAAAGAATAAGCCCTGAGCATTGCCAGGTTTGCCCCAAACAATAACAAAACAACTACACACACACACATATATCATTATCACTATCACTATCCTCCCGTTGTTCATCGATTTGCTCAAGCGGGCCCAATAACATTGTGAGACTTGTTTTGACTGTGTTTGGCATATCGAATATGTCACGGAGAGCTTGCCAGCTCTGCCGCATGGGCAAGATACTCTCAGTAGCTTGCCGGGCTCTCTGAGAGGGGCGAAGGAATCGAACTCGGGTCGGCCATGTTGGCTGCGTGCAAGGCAAATGCCCTACCCGCTGTGCTATCGCTCCAGCCCATATACACATATATATATATATATATATATATATACATCTTTTTTAAGTTTCTTGTTATATCTGAAATTTGCCTAAGTTGTTTAGTGGCGGGAAAGGGGGACACGTGTCTTATTGGAGGCTGCTGGAGCAAGTGGCAGAGAGGTTCATACTCCCAGTTCTGCAGGCTGAGATGCCAAAGGCGAGAATGGCAGATCCCATGTCTGGCGAAGACTGCATTCCTAGTTGTCCTTTTGTCCTATCTTCACATGGCAGAGGGGCAAGGGAGCCCTCTGGTCTTTCCTGTAAGGACTCTAATCCCCATTCATGAGCGTCTCACCCTCAGGACCTAATCATCCAAAGGTCCCTTCCTCCCAATACTGTGTAAGGATTTAGCACTCCAACTTGGGGAACACAGAAAAGTCCCATGCACTGCAAAGGATCAGGAGAATTCACAGAAAAGACTTGCAAAAATGTTACAAACTCGTAAAGCTAAATAAATGCTCAGTGTAGCTGTGGTGTGGCTTTCACATCTGTCTACAGGTGAAGTTTCCTAATAAACATCTTTCATCACACACTGTCCTCCCGTTGTTCATCGATTTGCTCGGGCGGGCCCAGTAACGTCTCCATTTTGAGACTTGTTGTTACTGTGTAATCCTGCCCCCGCGCCTGGCTATTCCTCCCCGGGGCCCCTTCGAGGGGAGCGGGTTGAGCTTTCCTCCCCGCCCTGACCAGGGCCCGGCAGCCGAAGACCTCCAGGACCAGCCACCACCATGCTGAGACCACTCTCTGCACACCTGAAGGTACCGGCAGAGGGACAAAGCCACGTGGGTTCCGGGGCCGAGATCTCCAAGCCTACTCAGATTGGAGTCGAGCATCCTCCACCCAGATCCTCCAAATTCCAGTAGGCGGGGGTCACACCCACCAACTGGCCCCCTGGCGCCGTGTAATCCCATCAGCGGCCAAGACTCACAGACTATAAAAACCAGCTCCCGGAACCGCGCGGCTGCATTCGCGGCCGTGCGACATCTTATTATGACATCTTATTATCTCATTCCTACTTTGGACAAACTGGCAGGCTACCGAATGTAGCCTGCCCACACGGCAGAGTCTGGCAAACTCCCCGTGGCGTACCCAATATGCCAAATACCAGTAACAATGATGGGTCTCATTCTCCTAAAGAGCCTTGAATATAATCTCAGGGCTAGGATGAAGGAGACGTTACTGGGGCCTGCTCGAGGCAATCGACGAATAACAGGATGATCTGTGATCTGTGTGATCTGTTACTGTGTTTGGCATATCGAATACGTCACAGGTAGCTTGCCAGGCCTTGCTGTGCGGGCAAGATACTCGGTAGCTTGCTGGGCTCTCCGAGAGGGGCAGAGGAATCGAACCCGGGTCGGCGTGGTTGGCTGCGTGCAAGGCAAACGCCCTACCACTGTGCTATCGCTCCAGCCCAGAGAACAAGAGCACCACCACCCCCCATACTGGGTTTTATTTTTAAAAGACTCTAACAAAAGGAAAATGTGTTAAAAGCACATGAAGCTTTTCAATTACAAGAGGCAGCCGAGTAACTGCAAAGTATCTCTGTATCGGGGAGGCTTACCTTCTCCATCCTCGGTCGATCAGATCCTGATAATCCTCAACGGTCAGGGAATGTGCCCACATCCCTGGGGAAACAAAGGTAGATTCATTAGACAAGGCTGAAGCTTTACATTTTCAAATCATTTAAAGTTTGGGTTTCGGGGCTGGAGCAATAGCACAGTGGGTAGGGCATTTGCCTTGCACGCAGCCAACATGGCCAACACAGGTTCGATTCCCAGCATCCCATATGGTCCCCCGAGCACCGCCAGGAGCAATTCCTGAGTGCATGAGCCAGGAGTAACCCCTGATCATTGCCAGGTATGACCCAAAAAGCAAAAAAAAAAACAAAAAAATAAAAATAAAGTTTGGGTTTCTCTTTTTAATATGAGTATTTAGGTTGGGGATACTGTCGGGTGCAGGGCACTCGCTTTGTGTGAAGCTTGAGTTCAATGCCCGGCACTCCGTATGAACCCTGAGCCCCAGCCTGGCACAGGCGTAGCCCATAAAGAAAAAAAGGAGAGGTGGGGCTGGAGCCATAGCACAGCGGGTAGGGCGTTTGCTTGCCTTGCAACAGGAGACCTAGGTTCAATTCCCAGCATCCCAGATAGTCCCGCCCCCCCCCCCCTCCCCAGCACCGCAAGGAGTAATTCCTGAGTGCAAGGCCAGGAGGAACCCCTGTGCATCGTCAGGTGTGACCCAAAAAGCAAAAAAGAAAAAAAATTCCGAGCTGCCCCTTTGGCGAAAACCTTGAGAGCTCTAGATTCTCCTCCGACTTTCGGCAGAGAAAACAGCTACTTACCGCTCTCTTACTGAAACTAGCGGGAAAGAAACATTGTAGCAGCCGACTGATTACAATGTTACATGTAACTTATTCACTAAGTGCCTTTTAAGAACCAAACATAGAAAACCTGGAGAAGCTCCAGAACGCCTTACCCTAAGCTTTCCCCCGAGGGTTGGGACCACTGACACCCCGATGCGTGCCTCGCCCCACCTTCTAGCACCCTTCCCGCGCCCACCCTGCGCCCCCAGGAGCACCGCGCGCACCCTCCTCGCATCCCAGGCGTCTCGGGACTCACGTCATTCCCCTCCCCGGGGGGCACTTACGGGAAATAACTGAACGGGGCCACAGGGGTGCACACTCCGTGGACACCCCCTTTTCCGCAGCGCGGGGGTCCACCTTTAAAGGACGAGTTTGCACCAGGGGCCGCCGCAGGAAATCCACCCCGTTTCCTTCTGCGAGCAAATCACCCCGGGAGAGGCGAATCCCCGGGGGGTCCGGGTGGACCCCCGGGCTGTCAGCCGGCCCGGAGTGGGGTGCGGCGCGGTGCAAGGGGCCGTGACGGGACTGGGGGGGTCCCGCCCGCCGCCCCCACCCCCCACCCCGCCAGCCCAAGCCCCGGGGCGCCCCTTCCCCGGGTCCGCTGCCCAAGGTGACCTCCGGCTCCCGGGGCTCGGGCACCCGCGGGGGGCGCGGGTTCTTGCCCCCACCGGCCCAGGTCCCGCCGGGCGGGCTCCGTCCGTCCTCGGGGGGTGTCGGGGCGCGGCGGCCGCCCCCCGAGCCCCCCGCGGCCGCGGCCGCGCCCCCCGCTCACCGTGGGAGCGGCTGCCCGCCTCGTTCTTGCAGTAGCCGCAGCGGTAGGCGTCCTCGCCCTCGAAATACTCCACGATGCTGGGCGAAGCCATCGCGCCGCGCCTGGGCCCGGGCTGGCAGCGCCGCCGCCGCCGCCACCCCGCCGCGCCGCGGCCCCCGCCAGCGCCTCCACCCCACAATGCCCCGCGCGGGCGCCCGCGGGCCGGGCCGGGCCGGGAGCGGCGGGCGCTGACGCCGGCCGCGCCATCTTGGCTGCGGGCAGCCGCCCACACCCGGCCCCCCGCGCCCCGGGGCGGCCCGCGGGGACGCGCGGGCGCGGGGACACTCACCGCAGGCCGCCTTGCCCGCCGCCGCGTCGCAGTAGCCGCAGTGGTAGCCGGCGCGCAGGCCCTTGTACTCCACCACCGAGGCCATGGCCGCCGCCGGGCTGCACGCGGGCGGCCCCGCCCCTCGGGCCGCGGCGGGGCGGGGGAGGGGCGCGCCGCGGCCCGACGGGGAAACTGAGGCCGCGGCCCGCAGCGCGCCCAGCGCCCCTTCCCGGGGGGTTTCACGCGGCCTGCCCCAGTCGCTTTAGTTGGCGTTGCCTCCCCCGGCCCTTGAAGGGGCTTTTTCCCCCTTTCGGGCCCGAGCGGTGGGACTTTCCTGCTCGTTCCCTCCCTCGCACCCCCAAGGCTCCCTGGTGCCCCCCCACAGCAGAGATCCCTAAGCCCAGAGCTGCCCTGAACGCCGGCAGGTGTGGCCCAAAAAAGGAAAAAGAATTTTTTTTTAACCGTGCAGACCAACTAATAATTTCCCTAGGCTGGATGCAGCCGGGGCCTGTGACTGCAGTCACTGTGTCAGTGGAGGAGGCGCTAGCTCCTGATGGGCTCTGAAGGCCTGGCTAACTGGTGCACTAGGGCTGCCCTGGCCAGTGGTGGTGGTGGGCTACACCTGGTGATTGGAAATGGGGGAGGAGAGGCACATGCTGCCCGGAGCATGCAAGCAGGCACTCCAAGCACTGTCTCACAGAAGAGACACAGTACAGAAGCAAAGTTTTTTACTAAGGGAGTGAACAGCACAGCGGGTAAGGCACTCGCAGGCCGCTGACCTGGGTTCTATGCCCAGCACAGCATTGTCTTGGAGCCTTCATAGGAGTGATCCCTGAGCACAGTGCTAGGACTATGCCTTGAGCAAAGCCTGGTGTGATGCCCCCCACCCCAAAGAACGGGTTCCCTCCTCCCCGAATTTGATAGTATTGTAAAGATAGTATCTCAATAAAATTTTTACTTAAAAAGGAATTTAAAATCATGCTTCTCGTGCCTTACATGTTTCCTCGTCAACACTAAAGCTGATTGTCTTTTTAAAGTACCTAAAAATGTAAAAGTAAGGAGGGTGGGCGGTGCAAAGTGATAGGACAATGGGTAGGGTGCTTGCCTTGCACATGGCAGACCCAGGTTTGATCCTTGGCATTCTATACAGTTCCCCCCACCCGTCAGCACCTTCAGGAGTGATTCCTGAGTGTAGGGGAAGGTGGGAGAGGAAAGGACAGTTGTTCTATGCATGGTACAAATATTAAATAGCACTGTTCTCCCGCTGTTCATCGATTTTGCTCGAGCGGGCCCAGTAACGTCTCCATTGTGAGACTTGTTGTTACTGTGTTTGGCATATATCGAATACGTCACAGGGAGCTTGCCAGGCTTTGCCATGCAGGCAAGATATTCTCGGTAGCTTGCCGGGCTCTCTGAGAGGGACAGAGGAATCGAACCTGAGTCGTCCAGGTCGGCCGCATGCAAGGCAAACGCCTTACCCACTGTGCTGTCGGAGCCAAGAGTAACCCCTGAGCATCGCTGGGTGTGCCCCCAAAACCAAAAATAAGTATACCCATAATGAAGATTTTAAATTTAAAATCATGGAACTTGAAGGAGCTAGTAAGCTTACGAGGTCCCCAGGTGGAATTCTGCCTTGGTCAGGTGACAAGGCTGCTGAGTAGCCGAGGGGTCTGTCTGATGCAACCAGGCATGAGAGGTTTCGAAACTCAGAAGTGCTCCTGTGAGAAGTGCCCTCATGTGCAGGAAGTTCTCAGGGTCGTGGCCTTTTGAGCCTCCATCCCTTACTCATCTCAGTGCTCTGTTTAAGACAGGCTTCATCAGTTTCATTCACTACGGGGATGGGGCTCTGGTAGACCACTCACCTTACCTGTGGAAGGTCTGGGTTTGACCCACACATCAAGGAATAATGGGGAGTCACTCCCATTTTGTTCGTTATAGGTAATCTAGCTAGTCTTTCCCCAGACCATCTGTCACTTTAAACACAAGTACGGGCCTGGGGAATGGCCACAGTCCGGGTCCCGGGAGCTTTTTGGTCTAACGGCCCTGCTCTGCTTCTCTTCTGCATCGTTAGGGCCCCAACCATAGCCAGAACACTCCTGAGACCAACCTTCCCCAACAATGAGAAGGGCCAAAGTCTTAGGAACATACATTAACTCAGTCCTCCCAGTACCTGCACATAGGAATGAAGTGCAGAGAGGCTCAGCAACTTGCCCCAGATCACAGAACCCGTAAGAGACTTGTGATAGGGAGGAAAGGTGATGAACAGGCCAGAGAGATAGCGTAGCAGAGAAGGTGCTTGCCTTGAATGCGGCCAGCTCAGGTTCGATTCCCAGCATCCCATCTGGCCTCCTGAGCACCACCAGGAGTAATTCCTGAGTGCAGAGACAGAAATAACAGGTGTGCACCTCCCCCCCCCCAAAAAAAAAAGGAAAGAATAAAATTGAAAACGTGGAAAACAGCCCTTACTCTTCAGAGAAGCAGGATAAGAATTCCACCCAACTGTTTTAGAAAACATGTAAGTAAGGGGTCAGAGCCCATAATACAGCAGGGAGGGCACTTGCCTTGCATGTGGCTGACCCAGGTTTGGTCTGTATCAAACAAAATTATATCTGAAGGACCAGAGAGGTAGTACAGGGGTTAAGGCCCAGGTTATTCTATGTGGGAAACCCTGTTTCTATCCCCAGGACTGCAAATGTTCCCCTGAGCACCACCAAGCACAGACCCAGATGCCCAAGCACTGCGGGGTATGGCCCTAGGGGCCCCCTACACACATACCCAGGCTTAGCCAGGGGGACCCAGGTAACTCCAAGTTAATATAAAAAGGAGCAGAGAAAGAGCGGAGGTAAAATTTTACATTTTTAAAAATAACTGATCCTGAGGTACAGGGGCTGGAGCGAAAGCACAGTAGTAGGGCGTTTGCCTTGCGCACGGCCGGCCCGGCCTGGGTTCGATTCCTCCACCCCTCTCGAGAGCCCGGCAGGCTACCGAGAGTATCTCGCTGGCATGGCAAAGCCTGGCAAGCTACCCGTGCCGTATTTGATATGCCAAAAACAGTAACAACAAGTCGCACAATGGAGACGTTACTGGGCCCGCTAGAGCAAATCGATGAACAAGGGGAGGACAGTGCTGCAGTGACAGAGATCCTGAGGCTAGAGAGTAGTCCAGTGGGTAAGGCGCCAGCTGTGCACATAGCCAGCCCAGCACCCTGTATCTCCCCAACATCGCCAGAAGTGATCTCTGAGCACAGAGCCAGAAGTAAGCTCTGGGCATAGCCGAGCAGGGCTCCAAAGCAAAGCAATAATATCTAACAGATGATTCAAATAATAATCGCAAGCTTTATAGAGTCTAGTTTGCAGATAGGTGAAATGAAAGGCAGCAACAGGGGTCAGAGCGATAGCACAGCAGGTAAGGCATTTGTTTTGCATGCAGCCGATCTGGGTTCGATCCCCAGCATCCCATAGGGTCCCCCAAGCACTGCCAGGAGTAATTCCTGAGTGCAGAGCCAGGAAGTCATCCCTGAGCATCGCTGAGTGTGACCCAAAAAGAAAAAAAAAAAGGAAGCAACAATATTTGGCTTGGGAGAGAGGAACTGAGAATACTTATAATCCACTTGCATCACCTGTGAAGGGGGATCATGTTATTTGAAAGAGAACCTGGATTAAGTCTCATTTCATTTCATTTTCATCATCCTGTTAATCGTCGATTGCCTCGAGCAGGCCCCAGTAACGTCTTTTTCATCCTAGCCCTGAGATTATATTCACGGCTCTTTAGGAGAATGAGACCCATCATTGTTACTGGTATTTGGCATATTTGGTAGGCCACGGGGAGTTTGCCAGACTCTGCCCTGTGGGCAGGCTACATTCGATAGCCTGCAAGTTTGTCCAAAGTAGGAATGAGATAATAAGATGTTGCAATAATTGAACAATATCAATTCAAAGACCGTCTTCCAAGAGGAAAAATATATAACCGCTAGGCTCAGAAGTGGCAAACTTGAATTATAAAATGTTTACAGTGAGGGAAGGTAGAAAAAGTAGAAGATAGCAAAAAAAGAACAACATCAACAAGTAAAGGTAAAGGCCCTCCCATCGTTCGTCAATTTGCTCGAGCGGGACCAGTAACGTCTCCATTGGAGACTTTGTTGTTACTGTGTTTGCCCGGCAAGCTACTGAGGGTATCTCGCCCGCATGGCAGAGCCTGGCAAGCTCCCTGTGACGTATTCGATATGCCAAACACAGTAACAACAAGTAGAGATACTTATTTTATTATATCAATAATCACATTAATTATCAATGGGAGAGATTCATCTAGGAAAAACCTAGAAAAAAATAACTACTGCTACACTTTGAAAGAAAGCAGAAAGAGTTACATAAATTTCAAACAAGATAGACCAGTGCAAGGAAAATTGGGTATAGAGGAATTACAAGGGCCAGAATGACAGTACAATGTGTAAGACACACTCTTTGCACACCTCTGACCCAGGTTTGATCCCTGATACCCCACCCCTGCCAGGTGACCCCTGGACACCCCAAAAACCACCAAAAGGGAATAAAGGGAAGAATTATATAATGGTAAAGGTAAGGTAAAGGCCCTCCCGTTGATCGTCGATTTGCTCGAGCGGGCCCAGTAACGTCTCCATTGGAGACTTTGTTGTTACTGTGTCTGGCATATCGAATACTCTCGGTAGCTTGCCGGGCTCTCCGAGAGGGGCGGAGGAATCGAACTCGGGTCGGCCATGTTGGCCGCTTGTAAGGCGAACGCCCTACCCGCTGTGATAAAGACATATTCCTTAATGTACAAAATATGTGAGGCAAAACTGATAGAACTGCAAGAGAGGAGTGGAGGAATTTACCTTTCTACTGAAGGGGTCAATGCTCCTCTGTGAAAGGAGGTCCAACAGGAAGAACCTCACTCGGAATATAAATGAACTCCAACATCACCAATCAACTGCATCTGACATCAAGACACCCTATCTAATGGCAGCAAAATAGATGCGCATCTCAAGCACACACAGAGCTTCTACCAAACTAGAACACATCCCGGCTCAGAAAAACATAAATTTCAAAGAAAGTATGCTCTCAGGTTACAGTGGAATTATGCTAGAAACCATGAACTGAATAATAGCTGGAGAATTCTAAAATACTTGTAAAC